CTATTTTTTCCATACCACTTTGAGTCGTGGTATGGCACTGTAGGATTAGCACTAGGCTGCTAACTGAAAGGTTGACAGTTCAAGCCTACCATCAGCTCCTTGGAAACCCTATACAGTAGGGGTGAGGAACGTCTGGCCCATAGGCCGTTTGTTGTTATAGCACCTTTGAGTCAGTTGTGAACCATAGCAACCCTATGTAAGGTTTCCAAGGAGCGACTGGTGGGTTTGAACTGCCCATGTGACAGTTCAAACTGACCTTGCAGTCCAGAGCTTTATCCTACATTGCCACACCAGGACTCCCATGGGCTGTATAAGGCCCTTAAAGTCATTTGATCTGGCCCTGCCAAGGAATTGCACACAGCTCCAGCCATTACATTGGTGGTGGTGATGGTATGCCATGGAGTCAGTTCTGACTTATAGTGACCCTGTGTAGGGTTTTGCAGGCTGTAAATCTTTATAGGAGCAGAAAGCCTCATCTTTCTACCGTGGAATGGCTGGTAATTTTAAACTGCTGACCTTGAGGTTAGCACCCCAGCTTATAACCACTATGCTACTAGAGCTCCTTAGCTATCACATTGTTGTTGTTGTTGTTGTTGTTAAGTGCTGTCGAGTCGATTATGGATGCTTGACCAAATACAGCAGGCTGATTTTTAAGTTGATAATTTTGTGTAGCCTGCCAGTGATGGTACAATTTGGAGCAGGAAAAGGTTCCCCACCCCTGTTAAACAGCTGAGCCAGAACCAACTTGTTGACACTTAACAACATACCATAGAGAAAAATTAACATCTACCCTTACTGTATGGTTGGTTCTATCCAGACTCAGCTTTTTAACACTATCTGCAAACTGGTGATTTCCAAACTTAGTTTTCTGGCCCAGACCTTTTCCCTGAGTCCTAACTTCATTTATCCATCTCCTCACTATGAGTCGGAACTGACTCTACGGTACTCAATAACATAAATCAGTACCTTCACCTGAATATATAATACATAATGGGCATATTCTAAAGTAAGTTCTCTATATTCCCCCACCAAACTTGCTTTACCATCTTAGTTCATGGCAGTTCTTTTAGTGTTCTATCAAAATCCTTGATTCCTCTCTATATATACCTATCTAAAATATCAGAAAATTAGATCAGCTTTTTCCAAGATCACCTTAAAAATCTAACCAAGATTCTGCTATTACCATTCCCCTGGTGATGTTTTTAAGTGCTGTTGAGTTGCTTCCGACCCATAGCAATCCTGTATAAGGTTACTGAGGAGCAGCTGGTGACCTTGAGCCACCAACTTGGTGGTTCAAACCGACGTAGCAGTCCAGTGAATTAACCCACAGCACCACACCAGGACTCCACCATTCCCCTAGCCACCCTTATCTTGTGTCTGGATTATTGCCTTCATCTTCTAACTAGCTGGTTTCCGGTGTTCTCTGGCAACTTAGTTTTCATAGAACAAACTATTCTTTTAAAATATAAAGCAGATCATATTTCTCCTCTTTTCGAAACCCTCTTGGTAGCTTCTCACGGAATAAAAACTAAACTCTTTATAATGACCTGCAACATTCTATATAACAGTACTTGTCAATCTGTAGTTTAAAAAAATAAAGAAAAGCAGTTTTGTTTTCATTTTGCATAGTGGAATAAAAATGAATTTAGCTAAAGAGAGAACTTTTTGCTTCTAGTCCTAATGGAATAACTTATTGTTTTTGTTAAGTGCCATCAAGTTGGTTCCGACTCAGAGCAACCCTGTATAGGGTTTCTGAGGAGCAGCTGGTGAATTCGAACCGCCGATTTGCAGTTCAAACTGGCCTTGCAGTCCAGCACTTACCCTATAGAGCCATACTAGATTAATCCTCAGTCCATGAACTATTATAAAACTGATCCCAATATAGGAAGGAACCATTTTCAGAGATGAAATAATAAGTAGTGCAGGACTGATCCCTGAGAGAAAGGAAACAAATGAAATCAACCCTAAGATTGCCCAATCTTTTTGCCTGGAGGTATTTGGCAAACACCAGTGCTGAGTCAAGCAGAGCAAGACAGTCTCGCTGAAATAAAGAGACAGAAATTGAAATTTGCAAGACAGAGTACCATTGAGAAGGAAGCTATGTAAATAAAAAGCTTCATTAATCTTCATAGAGGTCCCTGGAGTCTTTGGCTGAAATCTGTGCTGTATTTGCATAGAATGAGATTTGGCCAGACCAGGCAAACAACTGCCTCACCAGGAACAAACACTGGAGAACTGAAAGTGGAACGACTACCTGAGCTCGCACAGTATTGGAAGATGTTGTTGTTCCAACCCGTCACGGTAGAGAGACATCATTGAACACTAGAAATATTCAGTAAAGACCTCAGAAAAGCCACACTTAAGGAGCTGGGTAAAAAGAGCTATGGTTGAAGATTACGCTAGATTTAGGCAAATGAAGCCTAAACACAAGCCTCAAAAACCTCAAGCCCATCAACAAATAAAGTAACTGACTGCTAGTCTCTTTAGGGAGTCCTGATGTGGTGCTGTGGGCTAATGTGCCAGCCTGCAAAGTCGTTTGAATTGCAAGGTCAGTAATTCAAGCTCACCGGCTGCTTCTTGGAAACCCTATACAGGATCGCTATGAGTCGGAATCCACTCGATGGCACTTAACAACAAGTATCTTTAGAGAATTCAACAAAATCCAGACACCTGACAATATAATATCCTTAATTTCCATCATCCAACACAAAAGTAGAAGACATAGGAAAAGCAGGACTGTCAGACCAGTAGCCATAAGAAAAATCAGTCAATAGAAATAGTTCTAGAAATTACAGGGTTAGTCATTAGTAGACACAAAATTTAAGCTGGCCTTGATAAATACCAGAAATATGAAAAATTCAGAGGATATGCCTAATAGTATATAAGAAACTACAGAAGAAAAGTTGACTAAGCTTAAAAACATAGCAATACAAGCTATCTAAAAAGGAAACTCAGAAAAAATGGCTGAAAAATTGACATCCTCATTGACTTGTAGGACATTGTCAAGCAGTTTAACAGAAAGAGGAGAGAAAAAAGAATATTTAAGGATATGATTTTTTCCAAAAATGTAAATAGCTTTCCACACTTGATGAAAGCTGTAAGTCACAGATCTAAGAAGCACAACAAACTCCAAGCACAAAAAAAATCACACCAAAAATCTCTCACAATCAAATCATTTTAAAACAGTGATAAAGAGACAGTATTAAAAGCAGAAGGGGGAAAAAGTTACATATAGAGGAGCAAAGATAAAAATTCCTAATAACGTTTCATCAAACAAAGCAAGAAAAAAAAAATGGATTGGCATCTTGAAAGTTCTGAAGGAACTTATCTTTTTTTTCTAAACTATATATATATTGTTGCTGTATCTACTAAAAAGACCTAGAAGCTGTTACTACTCAGGAACAGTGAACATCCTAGTGCTCTAATTATGGTCTCTAAATACTATTTCCTAGTAAAGGGAATCAGGAACCCTTGGAACAATGGCTGGTTTCAGATCTGTAGCAGAATATATACAAAATGATCCTGGGATGTCTTACTGTGCCAGAAAGCAAGAAAGTTAACAAGGTCTAATGGTCACATCCAAAGAACACAGAAGCCTTATTTACAAGGGCCCCCAAAGGCTAAAGATAGGGCAATTAATAACTCATAAGAAGAATTGCAGTGGATTGAAGCATTGTTATTGTTAAGCTCTGTTGAATCGCTTCTGACCCATAGGAACCCTGTGTAGGGTTTCCAAGAAGCGACTGTCTGAACCACTGATCTTTCAGTTCAAACTGACCTTGTAGTCTAGCGCATTATTCTGCAGTGCCACACCAGGACTCTGACTGAAGTATTTGTTGTTTTTGTCGTTAGGTGCCATCGAGTCGATACCGACTCATAGCGACCTTATTATGCACAGCAGAACGAAACACTGCCCAATCCTGGGCCAACCTCACTACTATTGCCACGCTTGAGTCCATCGATGCTGCCACTTGGCTAATCATCTCTTTGGGGGTATTCCTCTGTTTCTCTGACCCTCCACCTTACCAAACATGATATCCTTCTCCAGAGACTGGTCCCTCCGGACAATATGTCCGAAGTATGAGAGACGAAGTTTGGCCACCCTGGCCTCCAAGGAGCTCAGAGGCTGCACTTCTTCCAACACAGATCTGTTGGTTCTTTTGGCAGCCCATGGTACTTTCAATATCCTCCTCCAACACCATAACTCAACAGCATCAATTCTTCTACTTATTCATTGTCCAGCTTTCACTTGCATATGAGGTTATTGAAAATACCATGACTTGGGTCAGGTGCACCTTATTCCTCAAGCTGACATCTTTACTCTTCAACACTTTAAAAAGGTCTTGTGCAGCAGATTTGCCTAATGCAATACGTCATTTGATTTATTGACTGCTGCTGACTGAAGTATAGTAGATACATAAAAGTGTATAAATTCCTAATGCTTCTTTTAAAAACTCAGAAAACTCCTTGGTCACTATTAGAGGTTTCTAGGTATTAATTGTTCTGAATTTTCTTAAATGATAAGAATTACCAAACATTTGCCTTACATTTCTTAAGCCAACATTGTTCAACATAAATGGAAGAAATTATAAAATAGGAACATCAGTGTTTTGAAACTCTATGAAATAATCTAGGCAAGAATCTTCAGTATATATGAAACCCATTTTTATGGGCGAACATGAAAGAGTACTATAGGTTTGACTGGTACCATGAAATAACCATCCAAACTCTTGGACATAAGCTATGAAAAGCAATGTAATTCAAAGCAGCCCCTAGAGGGGACTGTCTTTTTTTTCCACAGGATTTGTGAGATGTATTCCCTTTGATCTAACACCATTAATCCTGGTTCCATTTTGCATTGTGGTTTGGTTTTGTTTTCATTATCATGATTTATTATCTTTCCTATTTTTCTTTAATGTTTGCCCATTTTAATCCATGTTCATTTCTCCCTGTGTATGTGTTTGTGTCATGCTTGTTGTCTTTGCCTCCATCGTTCCCAGGTTACAGTATAGCCAAGATATACCCAGTCACTTGGCCGACGAGCATGCGCTGATAGCTTCCTTTGTGGCCCGTCTGCAGCACTGTGCACGGTTAGTGGTAGAGCAGCAGCAGTAGGTGGGGAGCTAAGGGTTGATTAGAGGGAGGGAGAGTTGTGTTACCTGGGGTTTCCAGCTGGAAATGATCTACATTTTGGGCTTTTCTTGAGAAGCTACCAGCTGTGTTTGGCAAACTTCAAATGCTTGCTGAAGCATTCGCTTCTTAAAGAGAAGACATCTTACCAAGTCTGGGCACTTACCTAAACACAGGCAGAATTTCTGCTTTAAAGTGAGATCACGTTCTTCAGATTACACTTAAAAACTATATAAACCTCTGAGACATCGGAGATCCCAAAGATGTAACCTTCACAGAGGTATTTGATGTTGTTCATTCTTGCGTAAGTAATAAAATCTTTCTGTTGATATTCAAAGTTTAGTGTTGATCACTTTGTCTAATGTAAAGACATTGATACCACCCTGTCACATCACTACCATCTTTCATATGTTTCCAGAAATCTACATTATTGATTATTTAAACCAGTGATTCTTAACAGTGATACCGAATCAGTATCACCTGAGGGACTTTTTCTAAACTATATATGAGGGAGCTTCAAAAAGCTCATGAAAAAAAAAAATGGAATTGAAAGAACTGGAATTTTCCCATGAACTTTGCACCCTCATGTACCTCCTTATATTAAAATAATTACATGTAATAGTTCACAATAACCACTGAGTTGTTGATTCACTATAAATATTTTATATGACTGATCCCTCAGTGGGTTTCAGATGGAAAAATGTTTGATAGCCACAAACTATTATAGTTTTTTCTTTGAAAGAGTTCATGCCAAATAAAGTGTTATTCTGTTCAGGCAGACCCAAAGCCATTTATCCACTCCATTCCCTGGCCCACCACATTCTTCAAGAATGATTGGTAAACTTTTCATATCTAAAGTCACTTGTTTTCTCTATATAGCTGCAAAGAAGAGTTGTTATGGAAATCTCTGCTTTGAGAACCCTAATTCTTAAAGAGAAAACCATAATTAATAAACACGTAACGGAGGTTGGCGCCTTAAAAATTTTTATCGTAGTTTTGCCCATAGCATGCCATGACCACATGGGAAGGTCATTTGGCCTCACTCCTATTCCCTGTGGTGATAGAAATGTAAATTAATAATTAATGTGGAAAAGCATTTGTGAAAAGGACTATTTTTAATATTATACATCATACTGTTTCTCAGTGTAAGCAAAGACCATCATTATTTTTTGACATTTACTTAACTCTAAAGCTGTAGGGAGACTGTAGGGTTCCTCCTACCTCCTACTTATGTTTAATAGGCTTACCGTATGGGAGGGATGGAAAGGCCTGCTAATTGTATCAAGTGTTCCAGAGCGAATCTCTGTTCAACAGATGACTCTGACCCAGCCTCTGTTCTTTAGGAATAGAGTAGTTTCACCTCAGCCAGGGCAGATTATTTATAATCGATAAGACAGTTGTCCAGGGTGATTATAACATTCCATGTTAAAAATAGCACAGTGTTGGCCAGAGATCTACTACCTGATATTTGCAGTCTATAAAGGTTTTTAGTACGTTTGGCCAAGGTCTACAAGTCCCATGGACTCTGGAAAATCTTAGGGACTAGGCTTCCTGAGCAAGAAACTGGCTAGTAGCCCTCGGAGAACACAAACTAGGTGAGTACTGCATCTCTTCTTTATTTATGGAGTCCCTGTAACAATCAGAATTTCAGAATTTTAATTCTGAAAATTAAAGCACTAGCTTTCACTTTAAATACCCCTTAAATAATGGTTACTGACCTTTAAACTTCTCATCAATAGAAGGTTCTAGTTTCTGTCTAGAAAGCTTGTTGTTGTTAAGTGCCATTGAGTTTGCTTCCAACTCATAGCCATCCTGCATAGGATTTCTGAGGAGTGACTGGTGGGTTTGAACTGCTGTTAGCAGTCCAGTGCTTATCCTACAGTACCAATATAATAGGGCAAATAGATTAACCTTCCCAGGGAGATGCATGTAATAGAGAAAGAAGAACTCTTTTGTGTAGGACACACTTTGTAGGCGGCCAATCCCTCCTCCATAATATTATCCACTTGTATTGTAAAATAGTGGGCTTTACTTTTCCATTTCCATACAGCACTAAATTATGTTGTTGCTTTTCAAAGGTAGAATGATTTCTTGTTTCAAATAAATAATTCTTAAGCCACAAATATTATGTTTTTCACCCTAACCTTGGGGAAGTGACTGTAAGGTATTAAAGTCTATTGGTGATGGTGGTGGTTGTTAGGTGCCATCGAGTCAGTACTGACTCATAGCGACCTTATGTACAGCGGAACAAAACACTGCCTGATCCTGGGCCAACCTCACTATCGTTGCCAAGCTTGAGCCCACTGATGCTGCCACTTTGCAATCCATCTCACTGGGGTTTGGTTGTCAGGTGCCATCAAGTCGGAACCAACTCATAGTGACCCCATGCACAGCAGAACGAAACAATGTCCGTTCCTGGGCCAACCTCACTACCACTGCCACACTTGAGTCCATCAATGATGCCACCTGGCCAATCCATCTCTTTAGGGGTCTTCCTCTTTTTCTCTGACCATCCACCTTACCCAGCATGACATCCTTCTCCAGCGACTGTTTCCTCCAGACAATATGTCCAAAGTATGAGAGATGAAGCTTAGCCATCTGGCCTCCAAGGAGCACTCTGGCTGCACTTCTTCCAAAACATATCTATTGGTTCTTTGGACAGTCCATGGCACTTTCAGTATTCTCCTCCAACACCACAACTCAAAGGCATCAATTCTTCTACGATCTTCCTTATTCACTGTCCAGCTTTCGCATCCATATGAGGTTATTGAAAACACCATGGCCTGGGTCAGGCGCACCTTAGTCCTCAAGCTGACATCTTTGCTCTTCAATACTTTAAAAACTTCCTGTGCCCAATGCAATACGTCGTCTGATCTCTTGACTGCTGCTTCCGCAAGTGTTGATAGTTGATCCAAGAAGAATGAAGTCCTTGACAACTTCAATCTTTTCTCCATTGATAAGAATGTTGTTTATTGGTCCAGTGGTGAGGATTTTTGTTTTCTTTTGACATTGAGATGTAATCCATGTCGAAGGCTGTGCTCTTTGATCTTCATCAGTAAATGTTTCAAGTCCTCTTCACTTTCAGCAAGCAAGGTTGTATCATCTGCATATCTCACTGGGGTAGCATGTTCTAATTACCAAGATCATCATTTGACAGGACAATTATAAATGCTTGAGGCTGGCATTTGTACAACTAAAATAAAAAATGTTGACAAATGTCATAGGCAGAAGACTTAAAGTACATTAAAAAAAATTAATAAATCCAGACTAGAGGGAAGACCAAATTAAGCCTAGAGAATTGGCCACAGAGATAGAAATATTGATAAAAGTAAAACAAAATCTAGAAAAGTACATAGATGGACTGCAAGGTCGGTTTGAACCCAAAGGCTGTGGTTCAAGCTCACCAGCCGCTCCTTGGAGACCCTGTATAGGGCCATTATGAGTCGGAACCGACTCAATGGTACTTAATGACAACTACATACATAAAACTACATACAACTCAATGGCACTTAATGACAACAACTAATACATAAAATGATGATTTCTTGATGTGACCTCACTCTGCTCAGATTCTCCTCATTAACCATAACAAGATCCAGTGACTAATGAACTCAGGTGTTTTGTGTTTAGCTTGGTTATACTTAACCAATGATTTTTGAGTGCTGGTACTCTTGTTAAAAAGTAATAAAATAAGCCAGTTCACTCTAAGATGGTGCTTTTATGGAGTGAGTGCTTTAAAAGATCAGAAAGATGGATTGAAAGGTAATTTTTATACCATGGAATCTTCTCCAAGTTTACATTATGCTAAGTCTGCCCTGGTGAGGACCCTTCACTCTTGCTCAGTCAATGTTAAGTCTTTTATCATGATGCTTTCTTTTCTCTTGGTCTTTTGAAATTCAGGTCTAGGTCAAAAGTCATGAATTATTTCAAAACGTTTGCTTAGAAATCCCTGTCTCAGGCTTTCTGAGTATCCCTCCTCTTCTCAGCCAGTGCATTTGGAAAGAATACTGCTCTACTTGTGTGGAAGCAGAGAGGAGATGTGTTGTTGAAGAGGACTTATCATCCTTCTAACTGCTTTTGTCTCAAGATCACTAGTATCTACAACCAACCATCCTTTTCTTTCTTGTTATCATTCTTTTATTTTTTATAAGTTCCCTCCACTCACCCACCTATTCTCTCTAAGAGTGGAACAAGAGTTGTTGTTGTTACTCCCGTCGAGTTGATTCTGACTCATAGAGACCCTGTTAGGGTTTCTGAGGTTTTTAATCTTTGTGGGAGCAGAAAGCTTCATTTTTCATGCATGGGAACAAGAGTAGGGAATGTTTAATATCTATCTGTTGGATTTTTATCTCCTTGGCAGTGTCCTGGACAGTCCTAGCCGACTGGATGAGGAACACCGGCTTATAGCTCGCTATGCTGCCCGGCTGGCTGCAGAGGCAGGAAACATGGTAAGTAACTAAATAGTGGAGTAGCATAAATTAGCATTACTTCAATATTTAAGTGGTAGGACAAGGACAAATAGAAACTCAGAGGAGTGAATACCTCTGGAAAGGGAAAAAGAGGAGAGTAGGAATAGAGAGAGGATTGCAGGGACCTTTAAATATTTTTTTTTTTTAATGTTTTATTGTGAATTATGTGATAGTTTACATGGGAGAACATTAGTTTTACATTCATTCTGTTGTGTAGGGACATTTAATTTTATGTAGTATTGTGTTTCTTTTTCGAAAATTGAATCAAGAAGAGAAAATCAACAAAGCCAGAAGTTAGCCTATGTGTGACCAAGGACTTCTTTCTGGAATCTGTTCTTGTTAACTGCTGTTAAGTCTGTCTGACTCGTAGCAACCCTATGTAGGATTTCTGAGGAGTGTCTGGTGGGTTTGAACTGCCTATCTTGTGGTTAACAGACTATTGTTATCCTTCAGCACCACACAAGGAAGCATTGTTGTTTTATTAGCATGTTCCTGATGATTAATTATATTGAGTACTGCCACCGTTGGTCATTTGTATATCCTCTTTTGTGAAGTGTCTGTTTAAATAAGTCTTTTTTTTATTTTTTATTAGGCTCTGGATTTATTATTGAGATGCAGAAATATGTATAGAAGGTATTATTCCTGCACCTCAATAAGAAATCCACACCAAGTATTTAAAAAATAAACCAAGACTTGAACAGATACTTCACAAAAGCGGTTATACAAATGACCAATGACCATATAAAAGTGCTCAATATCATTAATCATCAGCAACATGTCAATTAAAACCACAATGTGATATCACTACATATCCACTAACCTCCAAACCAAACCTAAACTCATTTCCACTGAGTCAGTTCTGACTCATAGCAAGCTACAGGACAGAGTAGAACTGCCCCCATAGGGTTTTCATGGCTATAAATCTACAGAACCAGACTGACAATCTTTTTCCCATGGAACAGCTGATGAGTTCAACCTGCTGACCTTTCAGTAAGCAGTCAAGTACTTTAAACACACATCTACTAAACACACTGTATCAGTTCTGACTTCTAGAGATCCTGTAGGACAGAGTAAATGGCTCCATAGGGTTTCTGAGGCTGTAAATTTTTATGGAAGCAGACTGCCTCATGTTTCTTAGTGACAAGTGGAAGGTTTGAACCACCAACCTTTCATTTAACAATTTAAAGCAAACCCACTCTGCCACCAGGGCTAACGTACAAAAGACTGCTAGCACCAAATGGTGGAGGGGATGCAGCACTACCATTGTGCATGCTGGTGGCCAGGTCAAATGGTACGGCTACTTTAGAGAAATAGGTAGCAGGTTTTTTACAAAGAGATAAACATACATTTATCTTATAACCCAGCAATTCTACTCCTAGTTATTTATCTGAAAGAAAGTAAAACTTAGGTCCATAAAAAGTTTCCTATGAGAATGTTCATGACACTTCTGTTCTTAATAGTGAAAAACGATGAGTAGTCGAGATGTTTCTCAACATGAAAATAGATAAACAGAATGTGATATATATTCATACAATGGAATGCTACTTAACACATGAAGAATGAACTGTTACAATGCAATAACATGGGCTAGTGTCAGAAATATTATGATGAGTGAAAGAAGACAGGCACAAAAAAAGTACCTACTTCTTGATTTCCATGTATGTGAGATTCTAGAATAAAGAAAACTAATTTATGGCAATAGAAATGAGATGAGGGTTTCTGGGGATGGGGAGATTGAATGGAAACTTTTTGGATTGATGGAGATCTTCTGCATCTTAATAGGTGTGTGAGTTACATGAGTATGTATTTGTCAGAATTGATTGAATGTGATAACACTTAAGGTCAGAATCTTTCACTCTGTGTCAGTTTGCTCAATTAAAAGAAAAAGGAGCCAAGAATGGTAAAAATGTAATGGTTGATTGAAACAGACAGTGGCTACTCAGAGATTTACCATGTGTTTCCTATAATTTGTAAATAACTTATAAAAATGTGTTCCTCTTTTCCTTCTCCCCTTTCAGACCTTCACTTTCCTTGAGGAGATAAGTGCATGTTCTTATTTTTCCATGCCCCATCCCTCCCCCACCACTACACCCCCACACCCCCACGCAGGTTGGATAGTGTGTTGTTTTTAAGTGCCATTGAGCTGGTTCTGACCCATAGTGACCCTGTATAGGATTTCCAAGGAGCAGCTGGTGAGTTTGAACTGCCAACCTTGTGGTTCAAATCAACCTTGAGGTCCAGTGCTTATCCTGCAGCTCCACATCAGGACTGCTTGGATAGTATTGGTGCTATTGAGTGCTCTGAAATTGGTTGTGACATAGCAACCCTGTATAGGACTTCTGAGAAGCAGCTGGTGAGTTTGAACTGCTGACCTTGCAGTTCGCAGTCTAGTGCTAATCCTACAGTGCCACACCAGGAGTCCTTGGATAGTATAGTGGGCAAAAAAATTCCTGTCCTCATGGAGCTGTCAATCTAGTCAAAGAAATAAGCATTAAACAAGTGCTCAGACTATTAATTTATATACCCATCACCATCCAATCAATTCTGACACATAGTGACCATTTCTGAGGCTATAACTCTTCTCAGGAGCAGAAAGTCTCATCTTTCTCCCGCTGCCGGGTGGGTTTGAACTGTCCAGTTTGCAGTCCAGTACTTATCCTACCAATTATGATAAGTATGGTGGTGGTGGTTCTGTGCCACTGAGTAAGTTCTGACTCATAGCGTTACTGTATAGGATTTCTGAGGCTGTAAATTTTTACAAGAGCAGAAAACTTTGTCTTTCTCCCACAGAGTGACTGGTAGATATGAGCTGCTGACATTGCAGTTAGCAGCCCAGCTTGTAATCCACTATGTTACCAGGGCTCCTTAATGATAGGTATGGTGGTGGTGGCGGTTATGTGCTGTGGAGTCAGTTCCGACTCATAGCGACCTTGTACAGGGTTCCGAGGCTGTAAATCTTTATGGGAGCAGAAAGCTTCATCTTTCTCCCGCGGAACAGCTGGTAGTTTTGAACTGCTGACCTTGCGGTTCGCAGCCTGATTCAAAACTACTATGCTACCAGATCTCCTTAATGATAGGTATAATGGAGGAAAATTCAGGGAGCTATGCAAGTGTATAGCAGGTGCCTGATCTTTAGTGGAGAGTGAGGGTTGGTACTTAACTCTCCTACGAAAGTCTTACTTGAATTGGGATGTGAAATTGAGTAGAAGAGACTTCTGTCTCCTGGGAACTGAAAACCAAAGCTGCTCAGGAGCTTCCGTTGCTGCCGCTGCTGCTGCTACTCTGACCCTGTGCATGAGTTCTGGTTCATGAGGTGCAGGGAATAAAACTTTGGGCATGTGCCAAGTGCAGAGTTGGAAACAAGACTCTCATTAAGCTAGACCTTTCTAAGTTTCAAACTATTGGTGAAGGTATGGTATAGAACACCATCGGATAGCAGAGACAAGAAAACGAATGGGTCTCCTATTGGAGAAGTATTTTGGGGTGTTAGCGAGAGGTCTTCCCTGGGAATTCATAACCTCAGGCCTTTCCACATTTGAGTTGGGTGTCCTTCCACTACTTCATATTCTGAGAAACCCCCAAGGTGAAAATTTAACACAAAATTAACCCATTGCCAGCTATTTGGTTCTAACTTATAGTGACACTATAAGACAGGCTAGAACTGCCCCATAGGGTTTCCAAGGCTGTAGTCTCTATGGAAGAAGACTGTCACACCTGCTGAGTTCAACCTCTTTAGTTACCGGTCGAGCGCTTTGATCATTGTGCCACCAGATCTCCTTCCAAGACATGTTGGCAGAGACCAATTAGACCAACATGCTTTTCTTCCAGGGTGTTTCTGGGTGGACACAAACCTCCAACCTTCCAGTTAGCAGTGGCTTCTCTGTCTCTAGAGAAATAATACTAGATTTTTGTTGTTAAGTGCCATTGAGTTGGTTTCGACCCATAGTGACCCTGTATGAGGAATGGCTGGTGAGCTTGAACCGCCAACTTTGCAGTTCAAACTGACCTTTTAGTCTAGTGCTCCCATATACCAGGATCTTCCTTACTCCAGAGAGAAGCCCTGGCAGCACAGTAGTTAAAGTGCTCACCTACAAACCAAAAGGTCAGAGGTTCAAACCCACCAGCTATCCCATGGGAGAAAAGGTGTCAGCCAGCTTCCATAAAGATTTACAGTCTTAAAACCCTATGGAGCAGTTTACTCTGCTCTGTAGGGGGTCACTATGAGTCATAATGGTCTCAACAGTAGATTCATTCGGGTTTTTGCTCCAGATGAACTCGTGTTTTCTTAGTTCATCTGCAAAGACAGTTATTTCCAAATAAGGTCACAGACACAGGTGTGGGGGTTAGAACTTAAACATCTCTTTTGTGGGAGACACAATTTAACGCATAGCATATACCAATTTATTGTCTACTTCATAAGGAAATAGAGATACAGAATATGTAAATGGAGGTTGTTTTGTACCTTTTTAAAATTATATATGTATGTATGTATGTATATGCATATACATATATATACACTTTATCCCTTTGAATTTATTTAAATTTCAGAATCTTTTTCATAAGAGTTTAATATTAAGTCACACATCTGACTAACATTACAGCTCTAACGTTTAGTGAAATGGAATAGCATAGAACAAAAAGAAGTCAGGAAAAAAAAAACAACCAGTAAAGTGTGGTTTAATTATTTAAACCTTATACAAGCATGCCTTTGATCAGTCTAAATTGTTCACTATATTTCAAAAATTAAAAATTTAAGATAAAAGTAGTTGTTGTTTACTGCTGTTGAGTTGGTTCTGACTCATAGCAACCCTGTGTAGCATTTCTAAGGCTTTAAATCTTCACAGGAGCAGTAAACCTCATCTTTCTCCCATGGAGTGAAGACCTTGTGGTCTGTAGTCCAGAAGTCAAGGGTCAGCAAAAAAAAAAAAAAGACCCTCAGCAAGATGGATTGACAGTGGCTGCAACAATGGGCTCCAATC